ATGTTTATATCTTGCTGACGTTTGAAAAAGTTCTTCAAGGCTGCAGTGAAAATTTTTCAAATGTAGTCCTTTGGCATATGTATTTATTCTAGGCAATGTTAACAAAAATCAGCTAATCCCTAAAGAGTCTTTACACTTCTAGATGCCTGTAAATAGAGCTGACATTTTCCGCTTTAAAAAGGGTACTGAGGCATTCTAAGGGGATGAATGAGGCACCTAGTTTTCAGTTTTTATTTTTTATGGTTTTCTGACTTTGTAATTTTATTGTTGCTGTGAGCTGTCCAGAGGTATGTTCCAAGATGGGTAGTCTTACAAATCTTTTATATGAATGAATGAATGCCTGGAGAGAAGAACCAGTTTTCAGGACTAGCAGGATTAGACTATCTGAATCTCAGAAGAAATATCATTCCATAGAGCAGGTGCTAAAACAATGAAAGCACATGTTCACGTATCAGTGAAAGATATGTAAGAGTTGCTTTCCTTGTCATGGTATTTTGTACTTTAGAAAGCTGAATGTAAGACTTTTGCACAGGAGAATAATTGTGTTAGGGAGATTTGACAAATCTGTCAGCAATGAGTGCTAACACTATAACAACTATATGAATGATTTAAAAATCTCTGTCCATCTATGCCAGTCATGTCAAACACAAAGCCCGGGGGCCGGATGTGGCCCGCAAAGTGGTTTCATGTGGCCCACGAAGCCATCCTGGAAACAGTGAGGGAACGGCCCCTGCTGCCTTGGCCCTGGCCCAGCCAGCCGGGAGCCAACGTACAATTTTGTGGTGGCCCTCTATGCTGAAACACATTCAGTCTTAGCTCCACAAGGCCGTCTGGAAATGGTGAGGAACCAGCCCCTGCCGCGACGGCCCCACCCCCTGTATGCATGCTGGGGAGGTATCACCTTTTGTGAGAAATGAAGAAATGCACCATCGCCTGGAAGTGGCCAGAAAATGGCCCTCGCCTACTTCACATATCTGGCTTGATGGGCTCTGGGGGAGGGATTTTGGTAGGCAGCAGGCGCTCTCCTCAACAGCACCAAGAGGCTGAGCCGGGCGACACAAATCCAAAAAGAAACGTGAGGCCACCCAGCTCCCACCCTGCCCGGTTTCAGCAGGTAGCAGGGCGCTCTCACAGCACCAAGAGCTGAGCCGTGTAGTGCAAATCTGATGAGAAATGCAATGTTGCCTAGCCCCCAGCCTGCCCAGTTTCAGCAGGAAGCAAGATGCAAAGTTGGTGAGCTTCGCACTGCCCGGCTCAATCTCTTGGCGCTGTGAGGAGAGTGCCCCACTGCCTGCTGAAACTGAGCAGGCTGTGGGCTGGGTGGCATCACACTTCTTTTTGGATTTGCGGCACCTGGTTCAGCCCCTTGGCGCTGTGAGGAAAGCACCCCGCTGCCTGCTGAAACTGGGCAGGCTGGGGGCTAGGCGGCATTGTGCAGGTAACGTTGACTCTCACATGGCATCCCCTTCTCCAGAGCCCACCAAGCCAGATATGTGAAGTAGGGCCATGTGCTGGCCACTTTCAGGCGATGGTGTATTTCTTCTTCCTCACAAAGGCTGACACCTCCCCAGCTGCATTTCTTGCCTGTTTTTCTCCCTCCCTCATCTCAAATATTTTTCCACCACTCTGTACTTAGGAAGGAAAGAAGGAAAGAAGGAGAGGGAGGGTCTGAGGGAAGTCCTGCCTTAGTCCTGCCGTGCTGTCCTTTCACCATCCCCTTGCCCCATCCTCCTGGCCTATCCTGGGGGTCTCCCATCCTATTGCTAAGGAAGCTTTGGATACAAAGCTGGATCTCCTCCCATGGAGAGGGAATGGGCCTCCCTCTGACTTTGTCCTTATACCCATCATGAGCAACCTGGGTAAGGAGAGCAAGCAGCAGCAGCAGCCTTGAGGAGGAGGTAAGTGCAGCTGGGCACCCCCTTGGGGAAGTGGGGCTAGGCTTGGTGCCGCAGATGCTCAAGGGCCAGGCTAGGCATTTGACCTCTGCTATCCAGGGCTCCCAGCAGCCCGCACCACCATCCACCACCCCCTAGCATGGCCTGAGAGGAACAGTAAGGCTCCTCCAGTGGACCATGCCTTGGCACTTGCCTTGGTCCCACCCCCTTGTGCCAGAGACTCTCAGATCTGTCCCACTCCTGCCCAGGCACACACAGGCACCCTTGATGTGAATGATGGCCACGCTCACCCAGTAGGCCACACCCATTCCATCCATGCCCACTCAGTAGGCTGCACCCATCCTGGTCACACCAACCTGGTCTCCCAAGGGCAACCGCGATGCGGCCCTCAATGAAGTTGAGTTTGACACTCCTGATCTATGCCTTTAAGAGCTGTACAGCAAAGGAAACTATCAGATGAAGCTCTTCCCAATCATGCAGCTCCATGCTGGGAAAAATTACAGTTGATGAAATGTTTTTTAAAAATGAAGAAAAAATGTGAAGAAAAAAAAGAACTGAAATAGTCACATGTTCAAAAAAAGAAAATAATTTTAGAGAGAGCTTAAAAGTCATATTTTACTCACCTTACTTGGTCTGGCTTCTAATTTCCAACAGTAAGGCCAGTTGATCCAAAATGCAGCAGTGTGAGTCGTTATAGATGCACTTCAGTGAATCACATTAATATTAGTATTACATGGGCAGTACTGACTCTTTATAGGCTTCCAGGTGCCATTCATGTTGCTGGTTATTACCTATAAAGTCTTTCATGGCACAAGGTTGAATTATGTGTAGGATTACCAATCTCTAATTATCTCAGCTTATCCTATGATATCAGGCAAAGTACAATGCTTTGATCCCTTCTGTTAAACAATGTAATCTGGCAGCTTCCAGGACATGTGCCTTCATTGCTTCAGCACCTGCTCTATGAAATGATATTTCTGCTGAGATTCAGATAGTCTGATCCTGCTGATTTTCTATAGAGTCCTAAAAACCTGGTTCTTCTCTCAAGGTATTAATTCATTCATTTAAAGGATTTGTAAGACATCTTGGAACATATATCTGGGCAGCTCACAACAACAATAAAATTACCAAGTCAGAAAACAATAAAAAAATTGCCTTAGAATTCCTAAACAATCATCTACAGCAGATATGTCCAATGTGCAACCCATAGGCTACAGCAAGTAATGCAGCTACACAATATCATAAACATTTAACATTATTACAATATTGTTTATTCTCTAATCTGTGTGCAGGGTTTTCTATCTTGTCTTGTAATGCGATCATGTATCTTTCCATGGCTCTTTGTGCCACTCATAGCTTTTGTATCAATTGTGAGGTTAGAGTTCAGGTTTCACCAGCATATGTTAGAGCAGGTAGCATACACTGATTGAAATGTTTTCTCTTCAGGCATAGGGAGAAGTTGCTCTTGCTGAATGCCTGCCAACTACATTTAAGACGCCATTCAATTTCCTTTATCATCAAGAGAGTAAAAGAATTGAAATGGAAATGGGTTGGTCACACAGCAAGAACTGATGGCAGTCATAGAATGAATCCCACTTGATAAAAAGCATTCACAAAAGAAACCTTAAAACAAAATGGGTCAATTACATCAGTAAGTATTGTAGGCCAAATTGGCAAAAGAAAACTCAGGACCGTATTGGTTGGAAACATGTAGAAGATGCCTTCCTCCTGCAGTGGATAGACAATGGCTAAAATGATGATGATGAAATGATTCATATACATTATCCTTATTATATATTTTATATGTTTCCCAAGACAATTTCTCTTCATTTAAGGCAGCCCAGGCAAGCCCAAAAAATTGGACATCTATGATCTACAGGCTCCCATCATTCTACCCTAGTGCCTGGGTAAAGAACCAGGTCTTTATGGTCTTCCAGAAGGCTAAAATGTTGGGGGCCTGTCAGGTTGTTGAGAGATAACATGAGATCAGGCTATCTAGAAATGAATGGAATATATAATGGTTGGCCTTGATTGTTCTATATATTATTCTAGGTGTTTGTCATTATTTTGTTTCTAGTTTTATTTATTTATATACCAGATTTAGAAGTCCCTTGATTCCACAATGGCTCCGGGCAGCTAAAGAAAAAGAAAATCCCACGTGTATAAACAAACCCATTCCCTGTAACAGAAAATATAACCAATAGTGCTCCACAAGCATCCTACTTCAAGGCCTGGGAGAGCAGCTGCGTTTCTGAAGACTTTCAGAACAACATGGGCCAAGGGGATATTATGCCAGATGGCAAGTGCCAAAACAGAGAAGACATGATTCCTGGCTCTCCATAGATGGTATTGTTTGATTAAGGGAACCCCAAACATGTCAACTCTACTTGATCTTACTGGTGGGAAGAAGCCAAGGAAGGTAGGCAGTTCTTCAAATAAAACCTACCTATGTATAGGTAATTTGATACAATATAGTTTTTCCAATATAATCTTTCTGATTCTACCATGACATTAATTTTGCTGTATTTGGGCTCCACTAGTAGATAAAATCCTGTTTTCCTGAAGGCAATGGTGTTAAAATAAACTTGTTGTAAGTAATCTGAAATTCAAAATAAAACTAATGAAATGAGAACACATTATTATTGAAAATCTTCCTTCTATTCGGGGAATTGGGAGAATTTGATGATTAGCTGCAATTGCACTCATATTTTCTCGGGAATAAAGTTTATGTATTTATGTAAAACGGATTTTCAATGCTTCCAATAGGAACCAGACATAATAAAAAAGATATGGAAAGAAAGCAGTTAGGAAAAAGGGATGCTGCTGAGACAATTTTAATTTTCTTTTGCTTATGGCACACTCCAATAAAGGCTTCGGACTAAGTCGGCTGTTTTCTTATGATTTTAACTGATCCTAAATAAAGATATTATTATTTTGCCTTAAGGCTAACATATGACAACGTATTTTCAGCCAGACACCGAGCTCGTCACCCGCGCGTCCCCGCGGAACTCTCGTAGCGCTTCTGCAGGCGGAAAACTAAATGACAGTTGATGACGCAAAGAGAGCGAGCTTCGCTGCCTCTCACAAGCTCGCCGCCTCCCCTTCTTTCGGGATAACGGCCTTTTCCTCAGAAGAAACAACAAGGCACCCGAAGCGGCGGCTTGATAAAGCAGCGTGCGGACAGGGGGAGATGCAGCGCACGGGCATTTGATCAGCTTTCGGAAAGCATTGACCATAAAGGGAAAGTGTAGCTCGGCCTTTGCCTAGGTGGGTCTGTGGAAGACAGCGAATAATATCATAGAGAATTATAGATACAGCTGTTGTGTTATGTGATACAGATTAACCATAACGTACACGTAACCATAACATAGGTTAATTATGATCTAATGTATTATCCCAGTTCTTTCGGTTCAGACGACTCATGCTCTAGAGTCTAGACTCTAGACCAGGGGGTGGGCAACCTTGGCTATTTTATGACTCGTGGACTTCAACTCCCAGAATTCCTGAGCCAGCATGGCTCAGCTTGGAAATCTCTTTAAAATGAATAGTAATTCAATACAGCTCCAGCAACAAAAGTAAATACAATTGTAGATATTTTTCAACAAGCTGTAGGAGAACAATTTAATATGTTTAAATATAAATATATAGCTTCTTCTTCCTCCTCTTCCTCCTGCTCTCCCCACCTATGACTCAGTGTTAATGTCTTGCAACTGACTAGATCAGGGGCAGGCAACCTTGGCTCTTTTATGACTCATGGACTTCAATTCCTAGAATTCCTGAGCCAGCATGACCACGAGTTATAAAAGAGCCAAGGTTGCCTACCCCTGGTCTAGACTTTTGCATTAGGCTAACCAGCCTGTTGCTAGTTTATGGCTTAATATGTTGTACAAAATCAGAAAACTGGGATAAACAACAAACCAGAATTAATCATGGATTATCAAGTTATGAATAGAGCCTTATACTTTTGTCCACGTCTGAGGTAATATTTATACAAGAAATACACAGTATACAATGGGAGAGATACACTATAGGGTACATTGGTAAAAACTCGATTTCTGCTTATTCAATGCCTCCAGCAAACTTGGTTATGGGGGGAGGGGTTGCATCTCCATAGGAGTTGTCAAGGTCTAGAGATACAAAAGGAAAGGGGCAACAGTGGATGGAAATGTTAAGCTATCACCATTGGGGACTGAGCACCTCCTCCTTAGACATTTTTGTGGAGCTATTGCCACAACATCAGCACCACCAACAGCCTCTCTTTCTTCACCTGTCATTCGGGTCACCTGGGAATAAAGAGTTATTAATATAAGATGGGTAGCAAATAAATTAAATAAGTAAATAAGTAAGTAAGTGGAGGCCAGAGGATGTAGTAGAAAAGAAGCTCCCGCATGATCTGATGGTTTCTTTGTTTTTTGCTTTCTGATAGTGCTTCTCCAGTGATTAGTCGTGCTTTTTTTTGCTTGGGAAAGAATGAGGTGGCCAAGGGGAAGGGATTCTTTTGGGGAGAAGGAGTGCAAGAGTTATATGTGTGCATGTATGTTTGTATGTATGTATGGCCATATATTGGAAGGGATAAGAGGAAAGTTCGTGGCACAGGACAGAAACCCTTATGTAACTGAAAACTGTGACCTTTCATTTCTCCCCCTTGCCCTTCTGTTAATTTACTATGAAGGGTCATTATTTGGGACCCTGCCTGAAAGTCTTGCTTTTGGATCTCAGAAAGCTCTACTTATTTTTGCCATGAGTTCACAAATATTATTCCATGATTTGCTGAAGCATGTTTTGGAGACTGAATACAGATGATCATTAAGTAATGTGCTGTACTTTACAAATCACAATGCTTTAACATGTGAGGCCGAAACCAAAATCATATAGTAACTTGGGTGAATCTTCTTATTGAATTCCCATTTGCCATCTTCCCATCCTATGATATTGATTAGAATGAGAATTTAGCTCCAGATTTCAATCAATCAATCAGAATAGAGCTGAAATGGAATCAACCTTCTCTTTTTTGTAATGTGGTGACCAAAACTGGATGCAGTATTCCAGGTGTGGTCTTACTAAGGATTTATAAAGATATACTAATATTTCATTTGATTTTGATTCTATGCCTCTGTTTATACAATCAAGGATTGATTGTATTTGCTTTTTTGGTCCACACACTGCTCATGTTTAAGTGATTATCCACTAGGACTTCAAGGTCCCTCTCACAGTTATTGTTTTTGAGCCAGGTTTCACTTAATATATATTCTAATATATACCTTTGGTAATAATACCTTTGGTTTTTCCTGCCTGGGTGTAAAACCTTGCTTTTCTCCACATTAAATTTCATATTGTTGGATAGGGCTCATTGTTCAAATCTGTCAAGATGATTTTGGATCCTTAGTTTGTCTTCTGGAGTATTGACTATTTCTGCCAGCTTAGTGTTATTTGCAAATTTGATGAGTTCTCCTTCTATTCCCGCATCTAATCATTGATGAAGATATTGAATAGTACTGGCCTAAGATGAAATCTTGTGGTATTCCACTGCTTACTTCCCTCCATGTAGATGTAGTATCATTAAGAACTACTCGTTGAGTACAGTTTGTCAGCCAGTTACAAATCCATCTGGTGGTGAAGCTGTCTATCCCACATTTTTCTAGCTTACCAAGAAGTAGGTTGTAGTCTGCTTAGTTGAATGCCTTGCATTTTCTAAATATACCATATCTTCAGCATTTTGCTGGTGTAGCAATTTAGTCACTTTGTCAAATAATGAAATAAGATTGGTTTGTTTTTAAGAACCCGTGCTGGATTCTAGTTATAACTTTATTTGTTTCTAGATGTTTGCAGATCTCTTTTTATTATTTTTTCCAATATCTTCCCAGGTATTGGTGTGTGGCTGTTGTTTCCTATGTTTGTTTTTCCTCCCTTTTTTGAAGATGGGAATTGTTGTGTCCTGAGCCTGCAAAGGCAGGCTCGGGACGTTGCAATGGTCCCAGGCAGTTGCAAGCTGCCCGGGACCAGACTGGCTGGTGCTGGCTTCGCGCGCCTAATTGTTGCCATTCTGCCCGGGGAATGTTTTAAGGAAAGCAGAGAGGCCTGCGAGCCTCAGAGCTGTAACGGAGCAAAAGAGACTACAATAAAGACTTCTTGAAACTACGAGATGTTCTGTGCTCATTCGCCATTAAGCCGAGGACTCAACACTGGCGATGGTGGAATGCCTTACAATTGACTAAGGAGAATTGTAAGTTTACCCAGGAGTTCTGAGAGCAGCTAGGAAGACGGCGTTAAATTCAGCACCTGCCTGCCAGTACAGCGTTGCTGGAGGTAAGCTGGCTGATAGACCCCTTCCTTACAAAGGAGAAAATGGCAAAGATAGGGAGACTGTCTGAATTTGATGTCACCCACCCAGAAAGATGGGAGTCTTATTTGGCCAGAGTAGAAAACTATTTTAGAGTAAACCAAGTAAGAGAAGATGGCTTAAAGGCCGCTAATTTGCTGTGTGTCTGTGGTCAAGATGCATTTGAAATTGCTGAAAATTTAGCAGCCCCTGCGCTAAATCTGTCACCTACACAGATTTTAAAACATTACTAAAAGAACATTTTCAGCCCAAGTTGTCTGTTATTGCATGGAGACATACTTTTGAACAGAGGGATCAACGAGCAGGTGAATCAGCTAAAGAATACATTGCAGCTTTGAAAAGAGCAGCTAAGCCTTGTGAGTTTAAAGACTTAGAAGAAAGGTTGAGAGACAGATTTGTATATGGGCTTAGGAACAGAGACTTTTTGCAAAGGAAGACATATCGTTCCAAGATGCCTTGAGAGAGGTTACTGCAGAAGAGGCAGCAGGTGGGGCAATCAAGAACATGAGGCCTATCAGGAGCACTCCAGAAGCTGTTTCCGTGCACCATGAGGGAGTCCAGGAGAGCTCGGAAGAGGATCCTGAAGACGAGGTGGATCATCTCTACCCAGCCAAAGAAAGGAAGCTGAAGGAAGGCAAAGAAAAGTCTTCAACTGTACCCAAGTGCTTCAGGTGTGGAGGTCACCACAAGAGGACCGACTGCAGGTTCCATTCTGCAATCTGTAGAGCATGTGGAAAGCAAGGCCACATAGCAGCTGTGTGTCTGGGCCGTCAGAAGGTACAACCCCGAGAAGAATTGCGCAGGAAAGGTACCAGGGTCCCCAGCCAAAACAAGGTGGGTTTCTGTGCATCACGAAGAAGCATTTATAGGACAGGCACACACAAACCACTTAAAAAGAAACTGTCACTTAAGGTGAAGTTCCAAGGAGTTCCATTGGTTATGGAACTACACACTGGGTCTGCACTTTCAATTATTTCCATTCACACATTCAGAAAGGTTTGCTCTAGCAGTGGGTTCCAGGCCAAGCTTAGGCCATCCAATATAGTTCTAACAGACTTTCAAAAGTCCAAGGTGTGTGTTAAGGGGGAGGCCACCCTTAATGTACAATACAAGGATTTTGAAGGTCCATTAGATGTATTGGTAGTTGGGGGTGAGCGCACGAGTCTCATAGGACTCGATTGGTTTGAGGCCTTGGAAATACAAGTTACAAGGCTTAACAGTTTGCAAACATTAGGTCTATAAGAAGTCTGCAAAGAATTTGCAGATGTCTTCAGCCCTCAGCTGGGTACATACAAAGGGCCCCCAGTTTCCTTAAAGCTGGACCTCACTGTCACTCCTATCAGAGTAAAAGCAAGGAGAGTCCCTTTTGCTTTAAAAGGAAAAATTGATGCTGAATTGGACAAACTGATTCAGCAAGGTGTCTTAGAACCTGTTGACTCAAGTCCTTGGGAAACTCCCATAGTCACGCCTCCTAAGGCTAATGGGGACATTTGCATCTGTGCAATTACAAATGCACTCTAAACAAGGCATTGCAACAACATGCATATCCTGTACCTGTAGTCAGTCATATTCTGGCCTCCCTCAAGGGGGTGTGTGTTTTTGCAAAGCTAGATATAGCACAGGCTTATCAACAGTTACCTGTTGATGAAGCTGCTGCTGTAGCACAAACCATTGTAACACACAGGGGGGCATTCAGAGTCAAAAGACTACAATTTGGAGTAAATATGGCTCCTGAAATTTTCCAAAGTGTAATGGAAAATAGTTTGAGGGGTATACCAGGGGTTTGCCCTATTTTGATGATGTCTTAATAGCTGGAGACTCCATTCAAAATTTAGCTGAGAGATTGAGGGCTGTCCTGCTGCGGTTCCAGAAAACAGGCCTCAAGCTTAAAAAAGACAAATGTAAAATTGGGGTGCCTTCTACAGAT